GAATCTCTGCTGGGTTCTCTGGCTAAATGTGTCCAAAATAAGAATAAATCAGTTGCTCGTCAGAGGCACTTGGTTATATCTCTTGGGATAAGAATAAAGGATTTCTTATGTGCAGATAGGTTATATATAGACAAGAGTCAGTGAAGAAATAAGGGGTCATTTTTCACAGTGTAGGAGTTGATCGTCACAGTCCTGCCAGGGTCTGTGTGAGCCCTGTGCTGTTCAGTGTACCCATAAAGAATCCTGGAAAAAAGAGAAATGAGGAGGTGAGGAAATCAGCTGATGATTTAAAGTTGATTCAATGTAGGGAGAGCTAAAGAGGACAGGAAAATGTTATAGAAGCCCAAGTTAAGTAACGAGACAGTAAATTATGTATAAAATGTGATGTCTAATGAATGCAAACTGATGCTCTTGAGGCAAATGCTGCTCACTGTAAAACAACTGGAAGCCACTGACCTGTCCAAGTGTTGAAGTGCTCAGCAGCTGACAGGGAAAAGAAGGCAAATGGAATGTTGGATATTAGGAAAGGAAGAGAGAACAAAACTGAACAGTCAAAAGTGGTTTAATTGATGGAGCTGCTTACAGGTGGAAAGAAAAAGCAGAGGGATGTGATTTTATGTATCTCCATTATCAGTGTGAAGGAAGGGGAAAGCAAGTGGTTGTTTACACTTCACTCTCTCCCATGATGTGAGAGCAGGGAGGCATCAGGAAGTGCATTTTCACGCAATTATAATTAACCCGTGGAAGTCATTGCCACGGGATGTTATGGGAGCCAAAAGTGTAAAGGGAGTTGAAAAAAAGGGATTATACAAATTAATGGAAGAGAGTCCCTTCAGAGTTTATTAAATATGGCATCTGGCTGCAACCTCTGGCTGGAGCAGTGTCTGCTGGTGATTGCCAGAGCCAGGGGGAGGCAATAAGGGAATGGTCCTTTGTGCTGCATCTTTGGCTGAGCATCTGCTCTTGGTCCTTGTCAGAGAGGGGATTCTGGGAGAGATGAAGCTTTGATATGACCTAGTCTGTCTGGTCAATGTTTTATTCTCAGATTGCTAACCCTAGTTTAATACAAAATGGACTTTGTGTATGTTTAACCCTGTAGTGTTCAACCTTTCCCCTTCCCACTCGTTATCTGCCAGCCCACCACAAATTGTTTGCCATTTTGGGTATTTTTTACTGTGTTCACTACAAGTTTCTCTGGTTTATGCTTTTTAAAGGTAGATAAACACCACTGTTTACTCAGTGCAGAAAGTCCTGTGATGTGTTTGTTGGGAACTGTCACTTGAACCAATTTTGCAAGTTAAGGACTGTGTTTGGCACTAAATTCATTGGTTATTTTGGGTATGTTCTGTAAATCTACATCTTTTACAGTGAACTAGGAAGTTGTTTTCCTTTTCTGGATGAGTTTCAGGTGTTGTACTCTTTTGTACTGAGTTACATTTATAGCCATAAATGGGTTTTTTGCTTATTTGGTCACATTTATAGCAGTATTTACGTTGCACAAATGAGAAGAAAAACACGTTCAGCTTGTCATTCTTCTATTTTACAAGTCCAGCAGGGTCAATAATACAATAAGCACATGCTGGTTTGGATGAGAGGGGTCTTTTAAAGTGTTAGGGATTCCCCATGAGAAGTGAAATTCTGAAAGGGAGGGTCAGTTTTAACCAGATTTTGTTCTAACACCAGTTTCCAGGAGACAGACAACGCGTGGCACGGGGGGTGCCTGGCCCTGGCCGAGCTGGGCAGGAGAGGATTGCTGCTCCCTTCCCGAATTTCAGATGGTGAGTTGGAGTTCATGTGAGCTCATGAAATAACAATTGATATTATTAGAGATCAAATGTGTGGCAATAGGCTGGAATTTGCTGATGTGAGTGTGCTGAACGATGAGTGAAGTATTGAATTCTGGAGTAAAACATCCACCCATGGGGATATTTAAGTACTCCTGTCAAAGCATTGGCTTGGGTGTGCCTTTTTTATACTTAATAAATATTTCTTTCCAAAATGGAATAACTTCTTGGGGTTTTTTTTCTTTCTTCCTCCCTCCCATGTTTCTTTGTGCAGTTGTATAAAATAATTCTGAATGTCTCTATATTGTGTCAGTGTCATTATTTAAATAGAATATATTAAATAATTGATGACTAACTTGCACTTTAAAGCCAGTAGCTTGTGCTGTTTGTTTCTGGTTAAATTTCAAAGGCCAGTTTCGTGTAATTTATACATTAACTGTTTATGTTTTTAATGGGTTTTTGAAATAGCAGGATGGAAAGAAAAAGAACAGGGCAGAGGAATTGTTTGTGTGTTCTGTAGTTTTCAACATACGTTGAAGTACAGAAATACTAATGTGAAAAAGAGGAGTTCTGTGTGATTTTGGTCAATGTTTTACAGAGTGGGAATGACAAAAGCACAGTGTAGCAGTGACAAAAGCACTCTTGGGTGCTTTTACAGCAGTGTCTTGTTCCAGATGGTTCTTTGGATCCCCTCTGGTGCTCCTGTGTTGAACGGAGAAGTTGAACACTAAATTTCAAAAGTGTTTCAAAACTGGTGTTTTGTAGTAGTAAGTTGGGTTGCCAAATCTCTCCTATTCTGAAGCTCTGTAAAATATGGCATTTAATACAGTTTATTACTGTGTCTCCATGGAAAGAATTCATGTCCAGTGCTGCACGTGAGAAGGTTTGTGCAGTGAGTTGGTTTCTCTTTTTAATTACTTTTGCCCTTACGTGATAAAGGTGAAACAGTTAAAAACCTCCCAGCTTAAAGCTGGGGAATCATGAATGGAAAATCCTCCAAAGGTAAGCCTCTGACAAAAGCAAAACTGTACACCTCTGTCAGAGAACCTGGATAACCTCATGTCAGAGGTTTTTATTTCATTTGAGGAGGGGAGATCAGGTAGAGTTCATCACTGGAGCTTGTTTTTATGGATAATATTTGTATAGAGCTGGGGGAGAACAAATCCTTGAAGTGTATGGAAAAACCACCAAGAAGGTTTCCCTTGTTCACTTAAATTTAAATTAACAAGAAAAGAGATACATGAGATTTTTTTTAAAATTATGGATAAAGGTAACTATGAAATTTTCTACTTCCAGAGAATAGTGAGGCAAATAGCTTAATGTAGTGTGAAAAGCAGCAGTGGTGACACTAGACTCTGTAACTTCATGTTTGGAAATTAGGGATTTGGTAGTGTTTGTCCTAAGCTTGAAGCTTTAAACTTGGACTGGAAAGCAGCCCTTTCTCCTTATTTAATCACATACTGATGTAGAGCTTGGTACATCACCCTGACTTACTGCTTGCTGTTGTCATTTGAGTTAATTGAGCTTTTCCTGTTACCTCATTCCCTCTGCTCACACTCAGGTTGCTATTCTTGCCTTCTGATAATCTGGGAAAAGCTTTTCTCCGTGAAAGATGAAATTACAGATCAGTGTATTCTCAGTTTGTTTCTTAGCTCAGAAGCTGAACCCCTGTAATTTACTGTTTAATGCTGAACTGGTTACAAAGCTCTGGCTGAGCTGTTGGCTCAAAGCACCACAGCACGAAACACAAGGGGAAAAATATCTGGGAATTCTGCATTGTGTTGAATGCAGCTCCACTTCCTTATGTAGGTTCACACCTGCTAGTGATGCTCAGGCAGGGGAGGATTTATCTTACCTGAATAATGATCAGTGAGAAATGTATACCCATGGTTTTATGTGAATAACACTGGGTTTATCCTTACACTGATAGTGCCACTGTGCAGATTTACACAGGGGAGCAGCCTTATTTTAGTTTAAAACTTCTGTAGCAGTTTGGATAAGCTGGACAGCAGTTTTAAGGCAGAAGGAATTTTGAGCTTGTACAGATGAATTATGTGCATAATGAATTTGCATCTGAAAGAAACCCCTTTAGGGTCAATGGGTGTTCATGCCAAAATTCTGCTTGTCCACTGAAAATTTAGTTAGCAATTTCTGGCTGCTTTTTCTTCAACATACATGTTGTAGTGTAGTGAATGCATTTGTGTTCATGAATGACTTTCCATATATTTTAAATACAGATCACAAGATTTATTTGAAAAACTGCCAGTTTATATACACAGTTGTAGAAGCAGGAATTAGTTTGGGCTGTCTGTAGAAGCACACAGAAAATGACAGTGAGTGATACATACTGAAACAGGACCTTCACCAGGAGAGTTTGCCTCAGGTGAAATAAATTATATAAATAACCTTTTAGGCCTGGAGTTTGAAGGCTGCCCAGTGTCTGTCTAACCTCAGCAAAGCAGGCACCTAAACTGTTTAGTTCTTCATATTTTCAGTGTTGTTTTCATAGTGATTCATTTAAAGTTGAATATGAACTGCATTTGTTAAACCCATGCAGGCTTTCTTTGGTTTGACTTGAATCTTGGTCTTAGTCAGTGTGAGGAGAGCTCACTTACACAGGCTTTGGGTCAGTTTGGTTAAACTGGCATCTGTCTCTGAGTAGCTAAATTCGATCTGTTCTGTCTTATGGCAGAATGGCAAAGTGCATTCATACACAGAGCAGTTTTTACAGTAAATTCTGAATAGCCAGGTTTAATCTTAAGCTTATTTAAACTACTGCACAGTGACATGAAAAGGTTTTCAAAGAAAAAAGACAAAAACCCCCTCTACTAGATGAAGTTAAGCCTGGAAAAAGACTATGACAGCGTGTTGTTGAGCAATATTCTTTCTAGAGCTTAAACATCTTTTAAGAAAAGAAGTTGTAAAAGTTATTTTACATCAATACAATTGCAAAAACCCCTTGAAGATTCATCTAATGTACTTTGGCTTTAGTAATGAATGCAAAAATTCACTCATCAAAACCTGAGCTTATACAAGGCAAAGTTCAGTTACTTAAAAATATTAATATAAAATTATAAACATTATTTACAATGGAGAGATGGAATGCATCTTGTCAAGGGCCAAGTCCAATGAGAGGCATGTTGCAGGAATTTCGTGATGTTGCTGGTAACCAGCTCCTGTGACCAGAAAGGGGAGGATTAGGACACTCTTGGAGGATTAGGACACTCTTGTCCTCTTCCTCAAGGTGAAGACTCTGCTGCAGTCATTGGGCCTGACTCTCTTAGCGCCTTGCTGGGCCTTTGCGGATTCCTTTTGATTTGTCCTTTTTTGCCCTTTCACTTTCTGATTGCACTGAGTCTCCTGAGCATCAGAGGGATTACAGGAGGCTTCCGTGGCCGGAGCTTTGCTGTCCTGGGGGCTCTGCCCGTCGCTGTCCAGCCGGGCCGTGCCGGGGCTGTAGGAGGCCAGCTGGCACAGGGCCACGGCCGCCGTCTGCTTCTGCTCGTCACAGCTCTCCATGAGCCGCAGATCCTGGGCCTCGCCGCGCTGGCCCGGGAAGGATTTGTCACAGGCACTGCTGCTGGGGTTCTTGGGGTTGCCTCCCTCCACCCCGCAGCTCTCGCTCTCGGTGCTGGGGGCGGCGGTGCCGTTGTCCTGAGACGGGCTGTGGAAGGACGTTTTCAGGCTCGCTGTGTTGCAGGAATCCTTCACCGAGAGGTTCAGGGGCACGTCCTGCAGGTCCAGAAAGCTCTGCCTGTCTGGTTTGGGTGGGGTTTTGTACACGTGCTCGTGGATAGGTCCTGTGCTTGTGTCGGCCTTTTTGGAGAGATTGAGAGGAGCTATCCCCGTGTCTTCCTCCGCGTTGGACAGTGAGCCTGCGTTGTTCTGACCATCAGGCTGTGTGTGTGAGTCTTCATCAGTGACGTTAATGCTGAAAGAAAGGAGGAGAAAAGAGAATTCACTATCAGTTGCTCTTTTAAACTGGGACTGAGGGGCAGGAGGAGATAAAAATCTGGACTTCTAGGCTAGAAGTCTGACAATTTTGTTGTTTCTCCTTCAACTCCCCGAGTCCCTTTCACCAGACTTATCACTGTAATACAGGTAATTCCCTGAAGTACACAAACACACACATAGTTACTGCATTGGAAATGCCTGGTACCCTTAAAGAGAATGAGTGAGCTGCTGTGGGCTGCACTGTGCTGTGCACAGTTAGTGTAGAACATGTTATCTCCCTATTTAATTTAATTTAAAGGGGCATTGCATGACATGTACCCATCTATCTTTGTGTGCCCCTGGTAAACCTGACAAGCACTTGCAAAGTGATTTTGTTACTTTACCTGGTGGGTGAGTCCCCTCTCTCCTGCTGTGTCTGCACACCTGGAAGTGCAGTCGCTTGGTCAGTGCTTTTTCTCACGGGTCTGAAGGCTGTAAAGTTTTCTTCTGGTTGGTCATACTTGCCCAGGGATGTGGAAGATGACTTGTTGGAGAGGTCAAATAAGCCCTCACACGTGTGGCTTGTCTGGGTGAAGTTGGTGGGGCTGGGTCTGCCAGGGGAGCCCGTTGCTGCGCTGCCCGCGAGAGGGCTCATTTTGGCATTCTCTCTTTCATTTTGGTCATCCTTGGGGTTACCTTTGCTGTGCAACAATGTCATTTCTTTTTCATAATCTGCTTGTTTTTTATGTGAGCTTAGAGGGTACTGTTGGGAAGGGCTTAAAGAAGCTGGGTACAGCAAGGTAGTTTCTTCCATCAGATGAGAGTTTTGATCCCTGTTTATACCAGCTACGTGTGAAAATCTGTAAAATGGGGGATCTGTTGGCCTACAAAATCCATATGGTATCGGTGGAGTGGAGTGATATTGTTGGAACAATCGATAGTGTTCGTATGCTGATGGATTTATGGGTTTTGGAAGTGGCCCAGGGTGGGGAAGAAAGTGTCTTTGATCTTGTGCTCCATAGACAGAGAGGGCAGAGCTTTCACACTCCGAGTTACCTGGGAGCAGGTAGGGTGTGTAGATGGCCAACCTGTGCTCATAGAAGTGGGGGGAGTACTCGGGAATCATCGGCTGCATGTAAGGTGAAATGGAACCAAAGCCTTTTGTGGGAGCGACTTTGTGTGGAAACTCTGGGAGGAAAGGGGAACCCGCCTTCCACGGGTGAGCTGGTGCATGAAACGCAGACTTGGTGTGGAAGGGGGAGCTTTTGTTAGAGAGGGACAGGATTTCAGACGCTTCGCTGATCTCCGGGCCTTTGCTGTCCCGGTGTTCTCCGACGGGGACGAAGGCCGAGGGCCTCACCATGCCCTCCATCAGGGGCTGCACGCCGAGGGCACTGTCTGCTGCGGAGCTGGCAGGGCTCATTTCCTTCGGCATCGCAGGTTTCTGTCCTTGAATCGCTGCGTTTGTTGCCTGGTTTTGTAACTCAACGTTCTCCTTGGCATCTTCTTTTGCAAAAGGATACTGAGGCTTTGAATCGAGGCTCGACAGTCCGTTTGTGACAGATTTGGAGGAGGTTGGTTTGACGGGAGGTTCGAGCTGATTGATCTGTTTGGGCTCCAGGGAACTGCTCTTTGGACACTTGATGACTCGATCCTGCTCCGACACCAAAGTGATGGAGTTTTTGCAGAGGCCGTACTTCATGTGGTTGAAGAGATGGGATTTCTCATTGCAAGTGAAGGGGCACTGGAAACACTTGTACTTGAATGGCTTTCCCGGTGGTCTTGGGATGTAATGAGGCTTCTTGGGTTTGCGTTCTTTGAGGAGGCTCATTTTTTTTTCTGCTTTAAACAATTAAATGTAATGGTTCTTTATAAAAACTTTTCTTGTGGTTCGCCTTCCTCAGTCGTAGCCTCGTGATGTTTCCGGTTTTTCAGGTTTCTGGAATCCTTCTTCCCAGGTGAGGAGAAGCTCCCGTGGTGTCTCAGGGAAGAGGGTGCTGGAAAACAGCGCTTTTGCCACTGGTAGTGCAGGAACTGTAACACAGAGTTTGAAATTAGCTGTGGTGGAACACTGGAACAAAATATAAAGTAGTGCATTCTCTTAACTGCATTCCCCCTTGTCCTGCATAAGTTGTGATGGGTTTTGTTTTAAAACAAACAGAAGTGCTGGATGCCAGACCTGAGTTGGACAGGCATTGACCTTTGGCATCCTCCTGCACCCAGACACAGTCACACAAGTGGCCTAATTTCCAGCAGCAGCAGCACTTGTCACCTGCCCCTGCTGCCAGCTCGGGGGAGTTCCCTTTGAAAACCCAGGGAACGTTCATTGAGAAGATGAAAGTAGAAATGCAGGCGGAGCTGAGGAGAGAGGAGTGGAGGTGGGTGGGATGGGAAGGGGCAGGTCCCGGCAGTGCTGGATGTGGGGTGAGCCTGTCGGGCCGGTCGGGGAGAGCGGGGAGGGAATTTCCTGCTCTGGTGACACAGGGTGGGGTGGACGGGTCGCACTTGGGCGGCTGACTGGGCTCTTTCTGGGACTGACCAGCCCCTCTTCGCTGGGGTGGCGTTTCCCAACAGCCCAATCTCAGTGGATACCTCAAAAGTGGCCAATCTCTCGAAGGATAAAACCACACCGATTTTCTTCCTCTTCCTAATTCAATTAAGAGAAATGAGCACTGCAGTGTCTGACTAATGGAATCCTCTGCCTGATAAACACTTCCCCCGTCCTCCTGCTGCGTGCGGCTCCTTGCCGACTGCACGGGGTTCACACGGACACCCAAGTGTGTTAACTCGGGGGGGAAAAAAGTGTCTGACAGCAATTGATTTATGGGGGAAGGATCTATCTGCCTTTCTCTGGAAAAACGGAGGTTGTGGATACTTTATCCAGCCCAGTGATTTGCTGGGTAGATAAGTCGGGAGGGCTTGTACCGGCTTGTTCCATTATGTTCACTGATTCTGAAGGCGTGAGAAACTCTCGCAGTCAAGTTCTCATGATTTTATAGGATGTGTTATGGCAGAGATCTAAAAACTGATGATTTCATCATGAACTACAAGCATCATTATCAAAATGATGACTGTTGCAAAACCACCTACTGTATCTATTGTGTTACCCGAAACTACAGGAATATTAATTGTAAGGGTGACGAGATAGCTCCTTTTTTTTTTTTTTTTCCCTAAAGAAAGCTTTTCACACAGAAGTTTGAATTAGGAGTATTAAAATCCTGAGTTTATGAAAAGAATTGCTGGTAATTACGTGCTGTGAGATTTTAGTAAAAGCAGAGATGTTTTGCATTTCTTAAATCAGAGATTATTTAATAGAAAATGACAGGCAACACATGATGAAAACTGAAGGCAAAGCTACAGAATTGCTGCTTGTTTCATCAGGTACAGTAATTCTAGCAAATTGTATTAAATGTTGTTTCTGATGTCATAGAATATTAATTTTGTTAAAATAGTAATTGTGAAGGCACCCTGAAAAATGCAAAACTGCTCTTTAAGTGGAAAAGACAATCAAGCTTTTTCTTAAAACTAACAAACTATTAAATGTGCTTCAGATTAAAGTAAAAGGAATGTCTAGAGAAGTAGCTTTTTGTTTTTCAGGTTTTAACAAAGCTTTGTTTGTTGTTTGAGTTGGATACTGATACTATAACAACAACAACAAAAATGCAGCAGCATGTTAAAAGTCTTGTCACTGGAGCCTGGTTGAAATGGTAGTTCAATAAATTAAAAAAAAAAGTCATATAGTATTTTAAAATATTTTAAATTACAAAATTCAGAATTCCTTTGAAAGATTAAGAAAAATGTTTTTACATTAAATAAATGAAATATTGAGGCATAGGAGGAGAGGTCCAGATAGGGAACTGGGCTTTTTTTCTCTGCCTTAAGTGAACTTGTTGCATTTATTTTTGACTAATGATGTATAACTAACATGGAAAGTTTGCAATGGACTTGGTTGAGTCAGTTTGGACCTGTTATTCTTTGTATCTTCTTGGAAGTGCTTGTACTAATTATTCCTGAAAAAAAAGATATTGTTGTCAAAACTGCATCTCTTTCTTAGCTGAGCCATTTATGATAACGTCCGAATCTGCATTCAGGTGCAGCACTTGTAATAAAGGGATGGTAATTAGATTTCCTCGTTCTGCCAGCTTTCCTTTGCTTCATAATGAAAATTCCTGTGTGTCCTGTCCTCCCCCCTCTGACTTTGTACTCGGTATTTAACTTTGATTCAAGTTATTCCTGTTGGACAGAGTATTAACTATCGTTTCTTAACGAGATAAAATGTGTTGTTGCAGTTTTAATGTTTGAAATTTCGAGCCTTGCAGCTCCTTTGCTGTGGAGACAGCAGGAGAGCATTCCAACAGCTCCTTATTCCTTTCCATTTAATTTGTTTTGATGGCTCCCAGAACCTGCTGCTCTGACTTGGGAGGTGCACAGCAAGCAGCTCATTTTAAAGGGTGTTTACCCTTTCCTAAACTTAGGTCAGTGCCAGCCAGGTGAATGTTCTCTTTCTCTCTTTTAGTATTTAATCCCTTCTTTTCTCATGGTTTAAAAATGCCAGTAATAAAATATTTCTAAAGCCAGACAAGAAGGATAATTTCTCCTTCAGTCTCTAAGTGAAACATGGGAGTATCTGGCAGAGGCACATATTTCATAATTAAAACCCATTAAAACTATTTGATCCCACAAACACAGCCAGAAAGGACATTGATGGTTTAAAATAGGTCCAACCAATTAAAACTGTCCCTATATAAATAAGGTTGCTTCCAGCTGTACAGTGTATTGTGCTGCTGGAGTTAAAATTTAATATTAAAAAAATTAAAATACATAGTTCTTTTTCTTAAAGTTTCAGTGCTTAACTTGTGATATCCTTAAAAATGGGAAAAAATCTTCAATAGCAGGATGATAATTTTTATGTAACTTTTCTTTTTAGATTGAGACTTTATTTCCTGTAGACATGGCTGTAGAAATGCAGATGATTATATATCATTATGATTTTCTAGTTTTGAAACGTCAGTAGATTATTTATTTGTATTTTTACTGAAAGCAGGTTATTCAATATTGGCTAAGCTTGAGGTTGTCTGAGCTGTTTGTTTTTGTCAATAGTAACCTCCCCGTGGCTTTCGAACCTGTCGCCCTTTCCAACCTGAGGCTGATGGCTCCAAGTTCTCTTCCTTCTATTTTTAAAAGCAGGTTGTTGCTCCTTCCTTGCCTTTAACCTCTTGGCAGGTTCAGAAGGCAGGAATGTAGTTGGACACTGTGTGTGTGTGTGTAAATATATCAACACAAATGTCCGTGGGGAGAAGTGTATACACACATAGGCACATGTGTATTCATACACACTCAGAGATATGTGCATACAGATCTGTGCATGTTGTTTTTTTAGGGTTTTAAGTAGTCCAAATTGTTTAAGATGCCCAGTTGATCAAAGAGGAAATTTCAAAATGTCTTTTATTACAAGCAGGGACAGTAATTACATTTCTTTTTAGGACACTGCTTCAGCAAAGTACGTAACAGCTGGTCATGCCCACCCCATTATTATTGCAGGCTCCTTCTGGTGATGTGGATCTCTCTGACCAGGAGGACTCACTGGGGTGGAACATTTTGAAGGACATGCTATAATTAAAATATTGTGATGTGGCATTATTGCATAACCCAAGGACATGCCATTGTCACCTACCCAGGGTGTTGCAAGAACTAGATTTGTGAGTTTTATTCTAGCTGAGATTTTCCAGCGATTAACCACCCCTCCCTGCTGAACTTCCAGGTCCTTCAAACTGAAAGATAAATTTTAACGCAACTGTTTGTTAATTGGGAGGAAATGTGGGTGAGAGCAGTGGGCTGGGAAGGGAGTGTGGAAGGTAGAGACCCACAGGAGCTCCGTGTGTGTGTGCCCGTGCGAGCGAGAGGAAGCACAGAAGCAGAGATTAAATGAGCTGCTCAGGCAGCGTGGGTGAGGAGTAAAGATCTTTGTACATACTTAGTTAATAAATCAATGTCTTAATACGCTTCAATTGACTAGAAAAGGGAAAACAATCCAATTTCTGCTAAATTTCCAGAAGCTGGAAAAATTAATAAATCAAAGCTATTGCCCCTTATTTTCATAGGAGCTTTTCAGATGTACTCGACACGACTCTGTGAAGCAGAGTTGGCAGAGCAAGCACAGCATTTTTAAGCTATACAGCTTTTTCTCATACTTCAATATAATACATTAACTCCCTGTAGGAAAAAAAAAAAAAGGTGCTTAAAAAACCCTTTGCACCAACAAGAGTGAATCACTGTAAAAACTTGCAAGAGTTAGATTTTCTCTAAGACTAAAACATTCCCATCTCCTGTTGAAACTTTCTGCTGAAAGCTGAGAGTGGTGCCGTGAGTGCACCTGCTGGAGTAACCCCGGCTGCTGGGCCAGCTGGGCACCGAGCACCAAGCATTTCCTCCTCAGATGTGGACACAAAACACTTCATTTCAAGAAATGTTCTAAAGGAATGGACTTACCAGGCACGGGGGTGTCCGAGGGCCGTGGGGAGCGCGGGTGAGCTGGAGCTGTCACTGCTGGGAGAGCAGTACCTGTTCTCTGCCCGAGCCCTGAGTGAAACTGCAGGAGGCTGTTCCAGGGGAGGGACCTGAGCGTGTAGGAGTTGAGCCCTCGGGGTGTAGAGATGCACCTGATATTACTCCAGCCTGCAGCTACGATTCATTTGTTTGCGTCCACCGCTCTCCTCCAGCATTACCTCAGCACCCCGGGATCGAACAGAGCTCCCGTGCCCTCCAACAACCACCTTTGCCTCTCAGCTGGCTCTTCCTCTGGGAGGCGGTTGTGGGGTCAGAAATGTCTTAGTTAACACTGAGGATATTTTAACTTCTGCACAAGTGACTCGTGGGCAGCAGGACTGACTCTACACAGCGGGTAGCAAAGCTCACAAATAGGGTTTTACTTCGA